TATAAGTTAAGGAATATGAGTCATCATGTCTTTCAGGAGTATGGGATCTACGGAACTGGATAGAAACTGGCAATGAAGGAATCTTCCTAATGCGAATGTGTCGTGACGTTTATAAAAAATTCATAGGAATTCTTTTCCACTTAAAAGTAAGTCTATTCCCTGTGACTCGATGTTTTTATTGTTTATTATTCATGTTGTCTTTTGTAAGTTTTACATCGCGCATAGCGACTAATCTGTTACATCTTGTAGATCAAGCTTTGTAACGACCCCGAGAAATTTATGTATATTTTAGAAATATAACATGTGCTTTCTCATGAAGAGTACTTCGGCAATGGCTACGGAAAATTAGAGAAATCAAACTTTGCTTTTACAAGAAAATGTTTTAAGAGAAAATCCTGAAAAATTTCGAGTGTGACTTTTTTTTTTAGTTTACAAAGATTGTTTAATTTTTATTCTACCTCGTTTTGTTGATGGAGACGGCCCACTGAATTTTCGACCCATATATCCTATAGTAAATCCATCACATTTAAGGCTAAATTCTGGACAAAGCAAATCCGGTACCGAAACTTCAGGACCATTTCTTTAAACACCAATGCGATCCAAGTAAATTTAGCACAAAAAAATAATACATTAGCCCTTGGAGTTTTTCTGCAGCTTTTAATTTCTGTAATCACTATAGAATATTCCAAATAGTAACTGGTGTGTATTCTTGTGCATAGTGCCTCCTGAAACCTTCCACCCAGAAATGAAATCCTGCAAAAATACATCAAAAACAACCTTTAAAGTGCTCAGAAATGAAACTTTATGTACACAATTAATAAAGATATACTTAAAATATAACCAGTATCAATTAAGATGACTTGAAATAGGCCATTTCAAAATTTAAAAGAACTACTTTCTAGACTACAATGGGCTGGGTCTAATTCCGTACCGGGTTGAGACCTAAATGAATCCAAAATTTAAGTTAAGCCAAACTTTATACTCATTTCCTAGTAATTTAGTGTTATACAAGTACAATCATATAGGTTTGACATGTCTCTAACAAATTACATTAATGCAGTACAATTTCTTAAATATGAACCTTCATGCGAAAAGTCAGGCTCGGCCAATAGAATTTTACGCAAAAATTTATATTACAAATTCTGTCATATCTTTTGATTCTGTCAATGGATTTTCTTCGAATAAAGTTAAATGTTACCGGCTAATGTCATACAGTTATTTTTATGAAAGAATAAGACCTTATTGCTTAAAAATTGTAATAGAAACTCCATTTCTTTAAATGAGAGCATGAAATTTTGGGTTAAAATACAAGTAATCACAATTAAATGTGCTTTTTTCATAACTTTTTCCTTCAATATTGTAATAAAACTTACTGATTATGATTTTTACCTATATACCATGGTAAATAAAGTAAAGAACCAACATACACACCCTACATTGTTTGCTTAAGATATCAATAAAGAGGTAATCTTAAGGTTAGCAAAGAGGTTACCATATCACCATGGGCTATGTCTTCTGACAAAGCAAGATTAGCCAACTCTCACACAAATAAGGCTTAAAAAAAGATGACACATACCGTCTCCCACTTTAAATCATTGAGAAGTCTTAATATAGTCAGAATTAGAGAAATTTTCTCCTGATATACATCAAAACAACTACCAAATATTGCCCGAGCATTGGGAGTCGCTACCGTCAATAGCTGAAATTTCAAACTAGACATAAGTTATTACCTTCTCAATGTGTCCTGACAAAGCTGCTGCCAAACTGAGCTGAAGGAGTGCTTCCATAGATCTTTACCAGGATAAGGTAAGGTCTTGTACTCAAACCCAGGCTTTGGTAACTGCACAGTCTGAAAAAATATGCAACACTAGTACATGCCTAAGAAAATTATAAGAGGCATTTATGCTGTAATTCTGATATCTGAAAAAGAAAGAAAATAATGTCTTAATTAATCAATGGCTAGATTTGCTAATTCACACTGGAGAGCATATATAAATATTGTGTGCTGAAAAATGCATGCCTGCATGAAAATAGCAGTTTAGACATTGTAAACCTAACTTAATTTAACTGCTGTAGCAGCTACAACAACAACAACAATCATATCAACTGTGTTATTCTAAATGAGCCAATTATCCATAAAGTACACTGTTTAATGACTAGAAAATGTGTATATATTAATAGCAAATACATTCTGCAACACAGCAAAACACCAAGTTTCACTACATGTACACTGAAAATGCCTATATTTCCAAAATATAAATCACATTTGTCCTGTTCAATTGTCAGTTCTGCTTCATTGAAATACAAGACAATAGTGAATATTTACATACTGATTACTACAGCATCAATCCTTTGCTGAAACATCAAAACATATAATGTGTGGTCCATATGAGCAAAAGGCTACTATGGTGCTTGTTCGAATCCCATGGCCGGTGCTTCTTGGGCCCCTAAGATCTCTGGAATGAGCTTGCCAATCACTTTTTTACCAATGTAACCAATCTGAAACCACACACTCCCCAATTCCTTGCAATGCATAGTTCATGCATAATTTAAGATGCATTTCTCTAAATATTATCATTTTCTATATGAATCTTATAAAAATAAGCTAGATTTATTGTATATTGCTAAACACAGGGTGCAAAAATAAAATTTATCAATTTATAAACTGCTTTTTAAAAAATTTAAATTTCATTTTTTAATTTTAAATTCATTTTTACAGTTTTAATTCAATAAAATGTGGTTAATCTTTCATGCAAAAGCTCTGTACCCTTCTCCCTGCTTACTGACACAGTAGCAGACATCTACATTTGAAGGGGAGATAACAATAACAACATATGACCCAATTTAAAATGTCAAAAATTAAAATTTCAAATAAAATTTAAAATTTTCAAACCTGTCAGTTATCCTTTATTTTCCTGACTTCTATTCATAAACACAACACTGATGCAAAGTTTCATCCATATCCATCAACCAGTTCCCATTTTTTCATTTCTTAAATTTAGGAGACGGCCCACTGAATTTTCGACCCATATATCCTATAGTAAATCCATCACATTTAAGGCTAAATTCTGTACAAAGCAAATCCGGTACCGAAACTTCATGACCATTTCTTTAAACACCAATGCAGTCCAAGTAAATTTAGCACAAAAAAATAATACATTAGCCCTTGGAGTTTTTCTGCAGCTTTTAATTTCTGTAATCACTATAGAATATTCCAAATAGTAACTGGTGTGTATTCTTGTGCATAGTGCCTCCTGAAACCTTCCGCCCAGAAATGAAATCCTGCAAATATACATCAAAAACAACCTTTAAAGTACTCAGAAATGAAATTTTATGTACACAATTACTAAAGATATACTTAAAATATAACCAGTATCAATTAAGATTACTTGAAATAGGCCATTTCAAAATTTAAAAGAACTACTTTCTAGACTAAAATGGGCTGGGTCTAATTCCGTACCGGGTTGAGACCTGATTCATACCAGGCAAAAGTTAATTTCCATTTTTAATGGGACAGACTATAGTCAGTAATTGTTTTATATTATGATAAGAGGATATAAGAATTAAATTAAATCAAAATGAGTTAACCTTTTACATTTACAACTTATATCTGTTTCGTTGAAGCGCGAAAAAAAAAGACGCACGTATCAGGCGTGCAAAAGCTAGGCGAACGCTGTGCATACAAAAGTAATTCAAGTTTATACTTATCGTTGCAGTGTATTTTTAACTATAAATAATAGTTAAGTAATTATGTTTTAATCAAGAAACATGCCATAAAGAACAAAACGTATAAGTTGTTTCTAATAAGCCAGCATAATTAACAGTCTACAATATATTGTCATTGATTATGACTCTCAAACTCTTTTACTGGGAAAATCCAATTCAGCTGGTGAATATGATACTACACCCAGTGAATATGATTCTATAAAAAGTACTACTGACTTCTGTTTGGACCAATGGGATTGCAGCTATATTTAGTTCATATAATAAAAGTCAATATTTTTGTACTCCAATTATATTATAGTCAATATTCTCGTACTTCAATTATATTATAGTCAATATTCTTGTACTTCAATTATATTATAGTCAATATTCTCGTACTTCAATTACATTATAGTCAATGTTCTCGTACTTAAATTATATTATAGTCAATATTCTCGTACTTAAATTATATTATAGTCAATGTTCTCGTACTTTAATTATATTTTAGTCAATACTCTCGTACTTAAATTATATTTTAGTCAATACTCTCGTACTTAAATTATATTATAGTCAATGTTCTCGTACTTAAATTATATTTTAGTCCATATTATATTACTTCAATCAGCTGATGAATTTGATATGTATTAGAAAGAGCGTCGAAGCACGGTGCTATCAGATTTGTACAAGGGGTTGCAGCCCCCGAGTATTAATCAGATTGCCGAGTGTTTTGATGTTCTTTCACTTCTGTATCATAGTCAAACATATAAACACATTCTGTAGTATCACAATATGAAACCCAAGAAAAAATTTACTAATGAAAGAGCATCTGAATATAATATTTCTATCGCTTTCCCTTTCTCTGCCGTCACAATAAGTAAACCCCGGCAAAAATGAGTATGCTCTGGAGTGCGGGAAACTAATGCCCTCACCCCAATTAACAGACTATGCATGTATATGTATACGATTTAACTCTATTTTCAACTTAAAGGTCCTTAAACTATGACACATTTTCAACTTAAAGATCCCAAACTATGATGCAACTCAAATATGTAGTAGAGTTAATTCATAGATCAAGTTTCAACTAAGTTAACACATATCACCTTACATAATAAAGATGGTTATTTTGACGCTTGAGCATATTTTGAATGTTTTATATAATAGTACCTTACAACTGTAACGTGTTTTGTTACATAATCTTCCTGCATTTTAGTGTAACAGATACCCGCTGCATGTAGGCTTGTAAAATACAAGTTGGTTGATAAATACATCTCTGTTTAAGAGAACAATTAATGAAAGACATGGAATTTAAAAGATGTTTGATTGGATTGGTTGTGATTTTGTTTTTATTTGTTTTATACACCTTCTTGAAACAAAAATCGTCAAATTCATGTCAGAAAGAAATCTATGAAACAAAGGAGAGAGATAATTTTAGGAACAAAAACTGGACAATTCTTATGACAGTGAATGATGCATATTTTGACTTTTTTCAGAACTGGATTCATTTCTATCAAAAACTTCAAACAAAGTACCCATTGATAGTAATTGCCGAGGACGATGTAGTGTTTTTAAAACTTCGACAACTGAATGGAAATTCATTGTTCACTCTTGTTAGGAGTTTGAGGACTTCACATAGATCGGCTGTTGTATACGGATCTAAAGGATTTAACGAACTTGCATCAGGGAGACCGACGTATATTTTGAAATATTTAGAGAGAGGAACAAATATTCTTTATGCAGACACAGATTCTGTTTGGTTACATGACCCAGTTCCATATTTTCAAGGACAATATGATATGTGGATGCAGCTTGATAGTCCTAGAAATTTATGCACCGGGCTTATGGCTATTAAAAGCAATAATGAGTCCATAAAACTTATGCGACTGTGGGAAGCCTCCTTGAAGGAACGCTTAGATATTGACCAGACCGCCTTTAACAAAGTTTACAGAAACTCGACAATTCACTTAAAGCCACTGGATAGGAGCTTGTTTCCTTCAGGAAATCTGTATTTCGACCAGTTTAGCGACGCCAAACGTAAAAATGTGATAATTGTTCATAATAATTACATAAAGGGACATGAGAAGAAGTTACAGCGGTTTGAAAATTTTAAACTTTGGTTTTCTAACTAAAAGGCGAACTTGTGTAAATTAAGTGAAAGACAGATATTTCTGATAATGTCAAACGGAGAGGAGTCAACAATGAATATTATAAGTGATCCAACGTTTAAATTTGCAACAGAAACCAAGCTGTCCCTTTAGCATTAAAGCAACACGCGTCCTGATTCATGCTAATTTTCATAAAAAATTTGGAAATGTATCTGAAAGAAAAATAATATAAGGTGAATAAATAAAGTAATTTCATATTGCAGTCGCCACTTACAATCCACGAAAATTACCAAGAATTGGTCAACATATGCAAAAACAGCCCTTACTGCGTTAGTAACGCACTAGAAATTTTGTGATCAAATACTGCAGGACCAGCGTTAAACAGCAAATAACATGTAAAATATAAAGCGGATATTGTGAATGTTTTTACCGTGCTTAAAAGTTTAGTGTTTTTTTCTCAATATTGAATCTCCTGAAATATTTTGACTCATCTTGAGACATGCAGCTTTAACATTATATTCATAAGTGATTAGCACACATTTTTAGGGGCCAAGTGTGAAGCGTGTTAGAATGCCAACACACGCATGTACATATCACTGGCATCAGCATTATTTAATCCTCAAAACAAAAGATAATTGAATCAATGACCCCGACGACGCCGATAAATAGATGGTATCACTCACGAAAAGTTGCATTCTATGACTTTAGTTTGAATAATTGACAACGCCCATGCGATCGGTATTGATTTAGAATATCCTTTTAAAAGGTTTTCTACAAAGAACGTTAAAACATTAGACAGTATTCAAACTACAGCAAGAAGTTTTTTAAGGATTACAATGTTTTGTGATCGTTGCGTCAATAGAATTACTCCGGAATTAAGAATATTTTGGGATTTTACCTACGGATTAGCTTGGAAAAACACGTATAACATGGGTGGTTGACGAGTAGATTCAGACGATGAATAAATATGCGTCACTGCTAGATTATACATTTATTTACGTTATAATAATTTGTCTAACGAAATCAAACATTGTGATAATACGCGGTCTAAGTACTTAATTTACAGACGGAAAAGCAACACCAAATGACCTTACACTTGCAAATGAAAAAGTACTAGCTCCGTTTAGTCACAGGGAATAATGGTGTCTTTTTTTTTTTACCGCGAAGAGTTCAAACATGACATTTATAATCAGAGAATATGTTGATTGCTTGATCAGGAAGAAATAGAAAAAGAAAACAATATATTTCCTTGTAGAATGCTAAAATTATGATAACATAAGACAATAAGTGTTCGAAGACTTACTGTTAAATTTTAAACAAATTGTATCACCAAATATATAAATAAAGCGACATGTATATTTATAGTAATAAAGGCCATTATAGCCCAGAAAAGGTTTTTTTTATCTCTCAAAAGCTTTTTATATTTGTTGTCCTTTTATAGTTTCTTAAAAGATACTCATTGGTCAATAACCTGAAACATATTGCCTTGTGTTGCTTTTGGAATCAGTAACTTTGTAATGATTATGTTTGTATGGACGTCAAAATACCTCTTGCTTTACATTTTGCGAACATTTAGCGATACTTTCTGAAGGCAATAAGTATCAAACATGTTTTTATAGCCTTATTTAAACATGATAAAACTCATGTTTCCTTATTCTAAAGAAGAAAAATGTTATTTGTATCTGAGGTGTAATGTGCCTTTAACACATTTTTTGCAAATGGATCGAGTATCAAATTGTAACTTAGTGAGCAGATAGAACCCTCAAATGAGTATTACTTTAGGCTAGAACAAGTTTTAATGTTTCATATATCCTTGGCATAAAGAAATTTATACTGGCCCGGTTTTCATTCATTTTTTCCAGGTTTGATTTCAAGATGTTAGTTTATCAAATCTAATTTATCAAGTTCGTTAAATTTAGAAAAAATAACAACAAACAAACATAAAACGAGACATGGTAATAAAGGAGAGCTTGAACCTTCCTATTCGTATCCTTTCCTAATCCTTTAAAACCCGTTACTACATGTATTTATAAATATTTGTGAGATAATAAGGGTGGCTGCATAAGAATTCTTTATTTTACTGGTGGTATTTTTGTCTACTATTAGCATTAACTGAAAAAGGACAAATATCATAATGTTGAATAATGAGAAAAAAATCTTTATTTTAATGGTGGTTTTGTCTACTATTAGCATTTACTGAAAAAGGACAAATACCATAATGTTGAATAATGAGAAAAAAATCTTTATTTTAATGGTGGTATTGTCTACTATTAGCATTAACTGAAAAAAGACAAATACCATAATGTTGAAAACTGAGAAAAAAATCTTTATTTTACTGGTGGTATTGTCTACTGTTAGCATTTACCGAAAAAGGACAAATACCAAAATGACAAAAAAAGGTATCATGCTATACACATTAAGAAAGCGAATGTAAATGTGTTTTTTTTTTTAATTTCAAGTACAGTACTGATTTACATAAAGAGGAAATATGATACATATATTATTCAATGCTACTGTTACGAAAGTTGTGTTTAATGTAGCTGTAAGCAAAGTTTGGGATGTATTAAATGTTATGGTTTAGTTTCAAGTTGACTTTCAGTAAGTAATATAAGCTGGAAAAATGTTTTTCGATCTCACGGTGTTTTATTTGAAAACAGACACGCGCTTATTAAAACGGCGTAGAGTGTCCTTAAACTATTGTTATGATTGTTATGAAATGTTTATGAACACGATAAACTTGTAGTATAAATTCATGACTGATTACCAGACTCATTACAAATTATGGAAAATATGCGTATATTTTCTTTCAAAATCTTTAAAAAAAACAAATTACAATAAAACTACAATTCCAGATATCAGAACTGACACATTTTCTTGAGTTCATTTCAGTGTGACATTTCAGACAGATCTTTCCACACAATTCATTCTCAAATTTAAATGTATTATTTATGCTATGAATGATATTTACATTTGTGTGAATAAATAATTAATGAATCAAGACGCTATGACATAAAAAAGGAAATTTATTTTAAGCCCTACGCATATATACTGTTGTTGTGTCCATGGGAGAAACAAGGCTTTTGTAATGTTTATGAAATCCGATATATAAAGCGCCAGGTGGTGTTGGGGCGGTGAGAGGGGAGGAGAGTCCACTTCCTGTTGACTTTGGTTTCTACTAGTCTGGATTACCTGCCCTTTTCTCTGCGTTCCTCTGCGTTCAATACTAAATTTTATAGTGCGACGGGAACCAGACTAGGTTTCTACCTAAAACTCCATATGTTAATGGATCTCACTGTAGAAGGATGCAGTGCAAAGGAAAGATAACTCTACCTCTTATATTGTTTAGTTTTGTGGCCCCTGCAAGTTTCCATTTATAATTTTGGTCCGGAGAAAATTACATAAATATTTGGAGTAAAATTGTGCAAAAATCATAACTCTTTCTTACATTATTTTGAGTTTAAATAATAAGTCTTTTTTACATTGTTCTGAGTAATGACTATTTTTTGTGCCTGATCATTTATTTTGTTATTTTCCATGTTTCATTCTAGTCCAACATCTCACGGTAACCACCGTCAATCACTTTACACTCGCGTGATTTATTTCGTAATATAACATATAAGGAAGTCTTTATAACGTCACTTTTATGTCTGTACTGGTTAGATATATTAAGTATGCTATGCTACTGCATTGCTACTGCAGATCTATAGACAAAAGATTTGCACGCGATTGAAACACTTGTAACGACTGCGGGTGTTTTGTTGTATTTTCAATGAAACTCTTGCAAATTAGTTTCTTTAGTATTTCTATGAAACGGGCATTCAAGAAACTGAAAATTTTAATTCATTTTTGAAAGATGTTTTGTGACTTGCTTAAACTGCATCGAACTATATTGTATCGCGTATGCATGAATATTGTAGTTGTTGGACCAGTTCAAGTGGAAACAACTTAAAAAGAAGGCGATATTGCCTTCTAAAACGATTTTGAGTTTAAAGGTGTTGCGATCGAAATTTAAATCTATTTATTTATCTCCTTGGAAAGTTTTTCTCCTCGCTTATGGCGTTATTTGTGACACTGAATGTTTCAAATATGTTTGTGGTTGAAATAGGGTAAAAAGTTGAATATATTATCACTGCCTTTAATGCATATCATATCATCACTATTACAAATCATATTATAATATTATATGATAATACATGTATAATATAATTTCATGTTATGATATTATATCATGTCGTAATATAATACCTTGTATGATTTGTTACCTTGATTAATAATTAGTAAAACGGGCTTTAATAGTTATCGGAAAGATCCATGCGTAGTAAAGAAATCTTTAATAAAGTGTCTTGTGTTTAAAAAATGATATATCTACTGTGTAAATATAGTAATTTGCATACACACGTGAACAAAAAAAAATTAACAGTCAATTAATCTATGTTGAGTAAGTAAATTACTTGTATTACTGTATTCATTAATAAGTTTAGAATTAAACATTATTAAAGATTTAACATACATTTACATGCATTTTCGGGTTTCTTCAAAAAAGAATCGTTTAAAAATAAAATGGCCCTATGACAATGAATCGCAAATTGATTGACATAAATAAACCCAAAATTGACTTCGACATGGCGCAAAAAATCCAAACTAGGTTAACCACGACTGATTATCGATTTTAAAGATATTTTTAAGTTTAAAATAAGTGTGCCATTAAATAATGGCTTTCTTATCTTAAGGCTTCAAGTTACATTTCTATTGTATATGCTTTATATATTATATATAACGCGTCCGTGCACATGCTTGTAAAAAAGCACCGTATACCGGTAATATTGTAATTAAATTTAAATTTTAAAAAAAATCTCTCAGTAATGAACGTTAAGGTAAAAAAAGTTTTCGGAATATTTGTTATTATGTTATTTTTCATGTTTTTTCTATATAGACATAAAACATTGTCACCTTATGAAGTGAAAAATAATGTAGTGAAGGAAGCACGTTACAATTATTTTGATGTATACACTAATAAAACGTCCCAAGTTAACAAAACACAGAAAACGAGATATGCTGAAAGGACAAACTGGACAATTTTAATGTCTGTAAACGACGGTTATTTCGATTTCTTTCAAAACTGGATTTATTTTTACAATAAGCTAAATATAAACTACCCAATAATAGTGATAGCTGAGGATGACGATGTGTTTTTAAAATTGCAACAACTAAATGGAAAGCCTGTGTTTCAACTTATTAGAAGCTGGAGACATTCTTCAAGTTGGTCAGTTGTATACGGGACAAAAGGATTTAATAAGCTTGTTTCAGGTCGTCCTAGTTATATACTGAAGTATTTGGAAAAGGGAATGAATATTTTATATACAGACATTGATTCTGTTTGGTTACACGACCCATTTCCTTTCTTTAATGGGACTTTCGATATGTGGATGCCTATTGATGGTCCGAATAGTTTATGCACAGGACTTATGGCCATTAAAAGCAACAACAAAACTATAAACGTTATAAGAATATGGGAGACAATTCTGAATAGCCATCTACAAGTTAACCAAGCGGCATTTAATAGAGCTTACAAACACTCAAAGCTCTCCCTTAAGATATTAGATATTTTCTTGTTTCCTTCGGGTGAATTTTATTTTGACAAATTTAGTGACGTCAAACGGAAACATGTTATAATAGTTCATAACAATTTCATAGAGGGTCATGCTATGAAATTACAACGGTTTAAAAAGTTTAATTTCTGGTTTTCTGATTAATACTGAATAAAGAATAAAATACACGTTCGTATCTGAAATATATATACTTGTCGAGAGACGTCTAAAATTATATATTTTTTGTAAATTGGATAAAGGTTGTGATTTTATTTGCAGAAATATCACATACATATCAAAGACTTTAACAAACAGACGAAAAGAAAGATTAAATGTTCTTGTAGTTCGTTTTTGTTATCCTTGCAAATGCAATTTATGCCACTGTTCCATCCTTTATGATGTAACCATGATTTGTAATCTTGATTCTGATACCATCATATTACATGATAGGAAATACTGGCCTCGTGGCGATGCCGCATTGGTTGTTCCTGTTTCTTGACATCATGATGTAACCTTGGTGACCCCAGCTTTTACCCCAGCTGCAAAAAACAACAACAACAGGAAATGAATTATCCAAAACTATGGTTTGGGCAAGTTTCTGCAAGGTATTTTTCAAATTTGTATCAATAAGAGAAACTTTCATCAATTATTTGACTAGAGGTCTTGTGCTTGAATGTATGAAGTAGTATCAAATTCAAATAATGAATGACCTCAACTTCTGAAAAAAGATATGTATCAGTCAAAACTTAAATTAAGGTTTATGTGTTACATGCAAGATAAGGAAATGTATCAGTTCTAATCTGAAACCAGACTTCTTCGACTACGGGACATTTGTTTACATTGCTTGGCAGTTGAATCTTACACAGAGCGTACATTGAAACTAACTTGACTACAGATAAACCGAAATTAATCTCAACGCATTTTTTTCTTGCTTATTCTGAATTGATCTGGAGTTCCTTTCCTTGCCAACACGTTTTTGCGTTAATAAGCGTAGACCACCGCCGATACCAGCGGGTACTGATTTCGAAGAACTACATTCATCATGCGAATGATATAGGTTACCGAGGATAAGCGTAGACAAACCAGGTTTATTCAACATTTTAAGTTTTAATCGGGAAACAGCTTAATTCTTTATATAAAGATTAAATGGGGAACCAGATTCATTCTACATGCTACGGTAAAATCGGAATATAAAACGAAAATTTTCACACTTGATGTTTCAAGTCCATTTATGAACAGCTGACTTTGAATCATGAGTTGTCTTTACCTGTTCTTAACGAGCCAGTAGTCACTGTTAGACATTTTACCATACCCCACTACGAGCACAGCATGGCCCAGTTTAACTGACGAGCAACTCTTCTCGTTATATACACCGGATCTGTTAAACGAGCAACAAACATGCACATTGTAATCGAGTAAGAAAATTATTTTTTGCTGTCCAAAGTGCTCCTTGACAGATAACTGGATCAAACGAAAGAAATAGTATGTACGATTAAATAAATAAACAAATTAAGTAAATAAATAAAAATTGAATAAAGAAAGAAAGAAAGTACAAAAACACTGTCGTAAATATAAAAATTGAATAAAACGTGAAATCGAAAAAAAATATCTAATTGATAGAACTAAATAACACTATGACATTAGGTGACATAAATTCATATAGCATGAAATAGATAAAGGATACTGTTGAATACTAATTTTATTGAACAAGTTGAATAAAATTTTGTTGTGAGCACAAAATAGTTTTACGTAACGAATTCAATAACTTAAGTTATGAACCAAGACGAATATAATACTTTGATTAGAAATAAGAATAACGGATAACGGTAAATATTTCATTTTTCATGAACGTGCCCGATCTCAGGACTATGCAGTGATCCCCCTTCAGTACAGAGATTACAATCTGCCAAGGGAAGTAATCATGGTGAGGAGTTTGGGACGTACCTAGTTTTGGCCTTATATGTAGTGTAACGCTATCATTTTTGCGCACTTTTACGTTTTATGTTAGTAAAATGCAAATGGAAACACGCAAAGTTATGGCACTAGTGTAATATCGTTTCTATTACACTTTTGCGCTGTAGTTTAAATATGATATTACATTGCGATCTATGTTACAATTTAAGTTATACCAACTATTAGTAATACCTGTAAAGTTGGAAAGATTTCTGGCTTGCATCTATGGATACTGATATAGGACCCTCTTCCGCTACTGCAGTCTGCAATTGTTGCTCAGACCCTGCCTTGATTATCTTACAACCAGTTGCTGTAGCTCCAACATTTTGTCGTTGAAACCTACATTGTCCCTCCTGAATTAAACATATATGTACAACGTATTTAGAATATTTGTATCATAGTTTGAGGACTTTTCTGTTGAAAATGTGTCAGAGATAAATTGTATACAAATACATGCACAGTGCGGTAACTGAAGTGCAGATATCAGTTATCCGCACTCCAGAGCATGTCCATTGATTGGCTCATTTTTGCTGGGGTTTACTTATTGTGAAGGCAGAAAAAGGGAATGCGACAGAAATATCATATTCAGATGCTCGTCCATTGATTACTTTTTTCTGGGGTTTCATACTGTGACAACAGGGAACGAGTATTTATGTTTGACTATGATGCAAAAGAGAAAGAACATCAAAACACTCGGCAATCTGATTTATTCTCGGTGGATACGCCAGCTGGTACAAATCAGATAGCCTCGTGTTTCGATGCTCTTTCTATTACTTAGAATATGGTAAAAAATGAACATACAATTTTGAACTTAAAGAGAAAAAAAACAAGTTAAAATTTTCTTATATATCGTAATACTGGCCACTGGTCTGGAGTGTTTTCCTCTGACACTGCGCTTCTTTGGAGTTCAATCCCTTTACTTTGCGTCGTACTAGCAGTCTATAATTTTTTCCTCCCTTACACTAGAAAGGCTAGAAAGTCTTTCCCTTCAAAACTTAGTTTAGGATCCCTTTTACACTATGAAGTCTGGTGTTTATTCCTCTTACACTACGTAGGTTAGAATTAATTTCCCTTACATTATATTGTCTGGATTTCCTTCCCCTTATTCTATATAGTTTGTAGTTCTCGCCTTTAAACAACAATGAGGTTTCTCTCCCTTACACTATGTAAGTCATAAGTCATAAAAAATCATCTAAAAGGACGTAGTGGTTATAAACACTCCTGAAGACAGGTTCTACACCAAATACGAAATAGACTGGCAGAACCTTTCAAATCTATGAATTTATGAATTTTCATTGGACAAAAAATATGGCAAATATTAAAATCCAGATGGACGGTTGGATTATAAACACAACTGAAAGCTTTCTTTTTGGACGAAAAAAAGGCAAAAGTATTCTAAAGGCGTTTAAAGGAGTGTACTGCTGAAAGCGATTTCTCGGATATACCGGTAAACAGTCAGAAAGTTTTCAAATTTCGACCCTCTCATTTGACGAAAAAGAAGGCCAAAAAGCTACAATCACACACATAAACAACATGAACAACAAAACGTTACCTTTGCGATGTATGGGTAAGATGCTTCAGTGTCAATTCCGCCATTTTTGATGACGTAGTCAAAGGCCTTATACGCAAGACCACCATTACACCCATGGTTTCCTTAAATAGTGTAAAATTATTGAAACGACGTTCACTAAGCAATGGGACAGGAAATTGAAAGATTGCACACTTGATTCAAGCGCGCGACATGTTTGCAAACTTGACAAAATGCCTACAGAGTCATAAATATTTATAACACACGCATGTATTTATCAGATAAGTAGACTTGTATGTTTTTTGGAATTTTAAAAATGTTAATGTATTAAAGAAATATTTATGACACACTTAGTTTAAGGTTTCAGCTTCCTAGCTTCTGATATTATTTAAGACATAAACAAGTCATGTGCACAGTTTTAAATTTGACAAGCGACTTTTCTGGTAGGGTTTTTACTCATTTATTTATATATGTAAGTTCTGAATGCAAGGAATCAAAACAATATACGTTTCTGTCAATACTGTATAAATGTTATAGTTTGCATGAACCAAATAAAGTTTCAATACACAAAAATATCTGGAGAATATATGTGCAGGCGTCACAAATATTCATCAACCGGTAGCCACTTTTATAATAAAGTTACAACGTACAAACCTTCAGACATTGAACAATCTACCAAGTTTTGCTCCGAGAGGGACACCAGTTTGCCAGTTTTCTTGAAGTTCTGTCCTTCAAGAGAACCCGTGGCCGAGAATGCCCAGCATGAGCCGCATTGTCCCTGAATATATAAAGAATGCACTGACAAAATTTGACAAACTAAATAATACCATGTTTATATATCTCGATCTGAATAGCATTCACTTTCCGACACATATTCTGAATTTACGGAATATCAGTATAAGTAATCAAAGAGCCAATTACAAAACTATATTTGATACAGACTTAATCTATTTTTTTATTTCATTGCTTGGTCTTATATATTATATATGCAAGAGAACACGGATGTTCAGCACATTTGACTTGTCAATGATGGTCAATTATCATAAAATGACCATTATTGGCAAGACAAATGTGCCGAACGCCTGTGCAATGGAACATAGCGCATATTAAGCAGGAACGTGTTCAATTCAGATGTTGGTATTGAACATAAGGTAGGTCAGAAATAAGAAAATGTTCATCTATTTTGTCGTTTTCCATTTTTATGTAACGACATATCATCATAATTATTGTATGCTTTGAAAGTCACCATACAGTTACAATATTGTAATGAACAGCAAATGGAAACCTGGTCTTTAACGCCAGTTACGTATCCCTTTCTTCGCCAGTCCACGTACGATGGTAATGACGTCATTTGCGTTTCCGGTGATGACGTATAATTCTTGCAGGTGAAGCGGGTTAAGTTTTGTTGGTTTCCATTCATGATATTAACAAATTCTGCTGTTGTCTGAAAATTAACGATATGTTCTCGGCATTCTTGGGCTTAATTGGTTTCATTTAGGTCATGATATTCCAAAATAATAATCGATTGTTCAAAAGAACAATTAGTCTATATATAGATCAATATACACAGTGACGAAGCATAGAACATATCTATAACAAAAAATGTCAGAATGACACATATGCCTCCCCCTATACAATAGACTTACTCCGGAATTAAGAATTATTTGGGTTTTCCCTGCTGATACGTAGGTACAAACATACTTTTACAGTAACAGCTTCGAAAATAAGCGCGGCAGGCTCACTTATGTATTGTGACGGATAGTGTACCGTGAAGCTAAAACGGTAAAAATTTGTTTGCACCTATGGATTAGCTGGGAAAAGCCAGTTCTGGATAATATCTTTTTGAGTATGCTTTTAAAACTAGTTTCCTTTTAGTTTTACTTTTAAGAAAAAATCCTTTAATCGTATGAATGATATTTGTACATTTTGGCCCTAAATACTGGAGTTACTTCCCCGTGCAATACGTAATAGGCGGCAGTTAATGTAGGCAGGGAGCCAGACTAAGCTCAAAGCTGCCAATACTCCAATGAATGTCAGAAAATTGATATATTTTTAATTATTTTCATATTCACGACCCTTTCAGTTTAATTTAAATAGTTTTATTTTTTTAAATACACAAAATGTTTGAAAAGATTCAATCAGGAGTTATATTTATAAATTAACAAACAATGATTTATATAGTATTTCATACATCATATTGATTTAGCGGAAGCAGTTTTCAAAGTCAGTGTCACTGTGACCTTGACATACACAAACTTCAATGAGGGTGATCATCCTACGACGTTACTATGATGCTGATCTGTCAATTCTCTATTAAGTTGAAACGACTTTTACAGTCAGGGTCACTGTAATCTCAATTTTTAGGCATTGTTGCACAAGAACAATAAGATAATGACCATTCCCTCAACGACGGTGATGATCATGTGAAGTTTGAAGATATGGGTAAAATGGTTCTCAAGGTCACTGTTACGTTGACCACCAAGCATAAGCGCATAACAGAGGCATTCCACTAAATAAGAGTTACCATCAAATGAGGTTTAAAGACTGTGTCAAATAGTTATTTAGGTACCAAGCAGACACATTTTTCACATTCAAGGTCACATTGATTTGGACCTTCATGAATGCATCGACACCACAGCACAATATGGGATTTTCTACTCAAAAAGGTGTTCTTCTATGAAGTAACGAAGGCTATAGGACGAATGGTTCTCCGGTTATTGAGTGAAAATGGTTTTAACATTTCAGGTCACTGTGACCTTGGCATTCACGCATCGGCGCCCAAAACAAAAGGTGTCTTCTACTTAATGAAGATTATCATTCTTTTCGGTTTTGACGACTGTGGATCGCATGGCTGTTAGGTATTGAAAGGGTTTTTAAAAGAAATCTGCTAATCTATTTGACACTGATCATCCTATGAAGTTTGAACGCTATTGATAAAGTGTTTATTTGGATGTTTTCATATTCAAGGCCGTTGTCACCTTCGGGCATCACCGCGCTGAAATAATAGGGGATGCTAAATGGTGTTGATCATCTTATGAAGTTTTGAAAGTTTATTTGGTAGTTTAGCAGAAACGGTTTTGACACACAAGACTTTGTTCACAGTGCCAATAGCTTTTACATATCGGTATTCTAAAACAATAGACGTCTTCTATTTAAGAAGTTGATCATTGTATAAGGTCTGAATCCTGTGGATCTAAATATTTCTCCAATAATTGAGAGGAAACGAAAAGGTCTGTCGACCGTCAAACAAATTGACATTCGCCAAAGAGCATACCCCTTTTTCTTCGATTTATCTCAAATAATATTTGATATATGATTATCAGCGCAAAGTTATCTGTTCTTCTTAACGTAATAGCTATACTAATTGAATACACAAGCCTTCTGTCAAAATCTTAACTTATGAAGTTATTTTGTTTACATTGTTGGTAAACAAAGTCAAAGGCAAGTAGGTGACGCGATAGCTCAGTTGGTTAAACCACTGATTGTCACTCCTGAGGTTCAGAGTTCGATTCTGGGTAACACACTTGGGAGTTTTCAGAAACACTTTCAGTGTTCCCACTTACCTAGAGGTATACTGGTATGAAACCCAGGTAATCCTCGCATGTATCAGTGCTATCATTGGGCATGTAAACAAACCAAGGGGCCTATTCAGTAAGAGCTAGGGACTGGTTTCTTGATTCCATTTGTATCTCAACCTGTCTCTGGAGTCTGCTGAGGTAAGGACCCTACTGGAAAGAAGTGCTTGCACTTTTGTAGGTTATCCTTGACCTCCCAGTCTAAAGAAAATCAATCAATCAATCAATCAGACAACGGTTCAATTTTAGAATGGCTTACCATGTCACCGTATTTGTTCATGCCTAATGTGTATGTGTACGCTCCGAGTTCTGCTTTCACATTATGTTGTTGTATATACTTCATGTTATCTTCCCAAATATATCGTCTGAAGTTAGAAACGAAATCACTAATAATGACAATGTTACATGCGACGTTTCTGCTAAATCAAAGCTTGATTTGTCAAGACAATACCGTATGAAGGAATATCTAAATTATATTGGTCAATTTTAAACTTTAAATCAGTGGTAAAATTCACAATAAACTGTTCAAAGCCACGTTATGTCTTGGAATACGTGTTTCCTTCTTTAGAAAGTGCAAAAATGATTGAGTTGTAGTTTTAAGGTTGAATAATGGTTTAAGAGCATGTAAGATGCTTATAACAAAAAGAAAATAACATTGAATGTGCAAATTATTTGTCATAAAAGTACCAAAATGTAAACAAAGTTTTATTTTGACTTTTAACAAAATACTAAATCACTTTCAATGTATGATTTACTATTCTAACACGACCCACATTTTTCCCCATTGATCATAGAAAAACCGAAAATGTGTGTAATTATGCAATAAAATCACAGTTTGATGTTCTAAATTAGACATGTGACGTTATCATTATACCATGACGTAACCACTAAAATGGTGACGCACTGGAAATAAGGACGGAAACAAATCAGGCGCAATTTAGGTTAATATCAGTACGGCATCATTTTTTTGTTGATGTGTTAGAATCGAAATAATATATCCATATCGGCCTCGTGATATAATTCCTCGCATCCGAACTCCAAACAGTGATTTTATTGAGCGATAAAACCACAGTTTGGGATATATTATTTCTTAAACAAGCATTAGAAGCAAAATGTTGTACAGGTAAAACGACTACAGACAACAGTACATAAAAAAAAAACTTTTGAGAGTTAAAAAGTACGCATTACTACATGTGGATTAATGAGCCTTTAGAGTTATCACCCTTTTTCAGCAAAAGATATTTTATTCCAATTTACAATTTCATTGGAGAAAAACGCCGAATATTGTTAAACGTTTAAAACAGCTAACTATTTTGAGCGGTTTAAATCGTTTCTTTTTTTTCTTCTTAGTGTCTTAAGATAACATGATAACCATATTCTTAATCGGGTTATGATCTGATTTAAAAAGAGGACACACATTACGGGGAGAACACTGTAGCATACGTACACGTGATATTTGGCCAGGGTTCAAGGTGAAGATTTTTTAAAAATTGTCCCGATTCATTTTTGCTTGCTTTAGACTGCATGATTTTTCTTCAAACAATTTGCATGAATCCGTACATTTATCAGACCTGTTACAAACTACGGTGAAGTCTCTACGATAACCAATTACAATCTGAGTGTTCAGGATAATTTGATATCTAAAGAATCATCACTATGTATACAAAGCTATTAAATACTAAATGAAACAGGCTATGAAATGCACACTATTGTGTAGCAGTTTACTTTTATATCATATATAGTTATTTGAGTACAAATGGTCTGAAACCCGGAAGATTTTATCTGTTAAACACAATGATATGAAACAACCCGAAACTGATTAATCACCCACCCACTGCTTGAACAAACAGGCATCTTATATTGTTAACTTTTGTTCGATTGTGTCTTTATTTTAAACATTTTACATAATATGTATTTTATGACTAACTGCAAACTTAAACTACAATATTGTTTTTGCTGTAGCATCGGCAATATTGAAACAACCTTTTTCCGGATAAGTACAAAAATTGATTATATAATGTCGAGGATTAATATACATGTCGTATTGTAAAATACAATGGACGTGGCATCATGAGCTGTTGATTGTTTAAGCTGGATTAATTATTGTTTTCCTGTGTTCATAAGTGTATCGTACTGTGGCATAGAGGGGACATCAGAAATATTTTATCTATCAAGTGCGCACGCGATGGGGGACATCAGAAATATTTTATCTATCACGTGCGCACGCGATTGGGGACATAAGAAACATTTTATCTATCACGTGCGCACGCGATGGGGGACATCAGAAATATTTTATCTATCACGTGCGCACGCGATGGGGACATCAGAAATATTTTATCTATCACGTGCGCACGCGATGGAGGACATAAGAAATATTTTATCTGTCACGTGCGCACGCGAGGGGAGAAATCGGAAAATATTTAAATACCACGTGCGCACGCGAAAGCTACCACGTGCGCACGCTATGACTACTACGTGCGCACGCGATAGCTACTACGTGCGCACGTACAATTTATTACGTGCGCACGCGATAGCTTTTAATTTCAAACAAGTCATGAAAAAGCACTTTCCCGTCCATTTTAGAAATGGAAGGTATTACGTGCGCACGTATTAGTTACCGCGTGCGCACGTAGTAGTTATCGCATGCGTACGTAGTAGCTGTCGCGTGCGCACGTAGTAGCTGTTGCGTGCGCACGTATTAGTAGTAGCGTGCGCAAGTAGTAGCTATCGCGTGCGCACGTAGTAGCTATCGCGTGCGCACGTGATAGATAAGATATTTCTAATGTCCCCATCGCGTACGCACGTGATAGATAAAATATTGCTGATGTCCCCATCGCGTGCGCACGTGATAGATAAATTATATCTGATGTTCCCCATCATGTTCGCACGTGATAGATAAAATATTTATGATGTCCCTCATCGCGTGCGCACGTGATAGATTAAACATTTCTGATGTCCCCTCTATGCCACCGTAGTATCGATACAAGATAGAGTAAAATAAAAATACATTTGTCGCCCTTTATCTGTAACCTGTCATACACTTTTACCAAATAACGTTTCCGTTTTGTGAATATTTTACAGTCCTTCAAAAGTTGAAACCCCACAGATGAATTATTGTTAAAATAACACAGGATAATAGATATTGCCGATGACCTTTTGGTATTTAAAGCTCTAGCTGGAGTTCTCTTTTTTTTAACAAAAAAAAAAAAACTACAGACTAGAATAAGCCTTTTGAATGACTGACAAAATAATTGAATCAAAATGATTGACTCTGGCCAATGTGCGATAAAAATGATCCTGACTCAGTAGGTGTCTGATATGCAAGAAATTACAGCGTTTTATAATTATGAACCGTTTTGTATACGTGTATTTGCCCTTTTCAAACCCAAATAATATATTTGTGGTAGCATGCTTGCATAAGTATAGGTCGACCTTGAAGAAGTTGCCATGATGCTAAAAAATGTAGTATTCCGTCATTTAGTTGTACATATTTATTTTATAACGATTTTAAAATGACTCCAGGAAGTATGGATATGCATGGCGTTTTTTTATATGGAAATATGCATTTGTCATATGGCGAGAAGTTCGTGTAAACAAAAGAGGAAAATAGATATCAGCCAACCTTTAAAGGCCCATTCTGACTCAGAAATGCTGTCATTTTTATTTCTCAAAAACACTTTGGCATCATTTTACAGTTTCCGAAAAATTACTCATTTGCCATAAAGATTAACTATATTTGCTACTTTTGTTCTGTTGGAAATTGGAATAATTATATAGTTAATTACATTTTTGTACGGAAGTCAAAATACTACTTTGTTTACACTGTGCTATCTTTATGACACGTTACTGCACGTTCAGCACTATTTCCGTCAGTTCTTAAACATCTAACATGCTCTTAATCCATTATTTAAACATTATTTAACACATGTTATATATATCTCAGGAATTATAAAATGATATGGATATATCTGAAGCATAATGGGCCTTTAATTAAAAAGTTGAGTCACGGATGACCTGACGGATATCGCGTTCCATTTAAATGATTACCTGAGTCACAATATATGTACAGGGAAAATAATATACGGAAATTAATTTCCAGTTATTTTATCTTTTGTTGATTTTTTAAACTTGTTTTCACTTTTCTTTTAGAAATCGTACATGAAATTGTCAGACTTCCCTTGCCATTCCCCCCCCCCTCCCCCGTTTTTGGTGTGGGTGAGGTGGAACTGACTAGTGTAGGAGGATTGTAGAGTGGGTAAAGGGTATATACATGTATGTGGTTGATAAAATGTTTTAAAATAACATTGTAGTTAAATCCGATTATTTTGACATTGAATAATTAGATCATAAGTTCTTTACTTCTTTCCCCTTCTCAACAAATTGATAATAATAATAATAATAATAATAATAAATAGATAATATAATAATAATAATAATAATAATAATAATAATAATAATAATAATAATAATAATAATAATAATAATAATAATTGTAATAATAAATGTTTTCAACTACATATTGTATTATCAAATACATATCGATGAAGAAGAAGAAAAAAAACTTACCGTATTTTCTCAACGTGAGGCTCATACTTCTTGCCATACGATGACTTGTATAATTCCCATTCGAGGTCCATGATATCAAACGACCAAGATGTTGCCAGAAGACATCCGAATACAACCGCGTAAAGCATCTGCAAACGAAATGTATCTGATGAATGCTAATTTTTATCCCAACGTTACGTATTTTGGCATTTGTCTTTCATTATGTTAAAACAACCAAACAACAACAACAACATCATAATTAAACAATACTTTAAAAAATCAGTATACTTTTAATAGAAATCCATATGTATTTTTTTTTCAAAGTCTGTTTAGCAAAATCATGTTATTTGTTTAATAAATTAAGATACTAGATCTATAAATTATATGATTATCTAAGATTACCTTTTTGTTTCAAAAATGGCTGTTTAAACGTGTTGAACGTGTACTTTCAGTGTGAAGTATAAACGCTTTAGATAATCGCCGGATGTGTCAAATCAGACTTTTTTTATTTATAAATACAATGTGACCTTAAGACAAGGAAGTTATTATGTTTGATATTGCACACGTATTTGCCTATCCTTTTTATATTTGTAGAATTGAATAAATGCTTTTAAATTTGACATAAAGTTTGTTGTGGTTTGTTTCTGAAGAAATGTCTTTTGGAAAAAAATGACTTGCACCTTTTGTCAGATACAGAAAACCATTTCATTTTACACCCACACACTCTATATATCCACTCATTTTGACTAAACCCCGGCTGCAAGTTTGTTATTTATTTCCCATTATCTCATTGTCTATATCCACCTCTTCCAGTGGCGTAGCTACAATTAGTCCATGTAGAACAGGGCCTACAAGTTGGTCAAGAAAATGACATTTTCAAAAGTCCCAAAAATACATAAAATCAGGACGGGATAGGGTTGGTAGTGGGTTAAATCTATAAGGTCAAATCAAGTATATGCTTTAAATAGGCTTTTTCATTATTCAGTAGAGTTTGCATTTAATCAAATTCATAGTTTAAAATTATTGTTTTGAAATTTAAAGTGAGGCCTTTATTTCCCCTCCCGCTATCTACTGACAATAATGCTAGGTACCCAACAAATTTTATTAGCTGTTTTTGTGTTGCACATGGAAGCAAAGATGATTGGATTTGCTGAAATTTTTAAACGCTGCCATATATTTATGGAAATGATTCAAACTTGTTATTTGTGTAATTTAATGATTCAAACTTGTTATTTGTGTAATTTGCTTTAAAGATCTGAAGTGGTTAACCACAATAAGTGAAATTATATATATGTACATAATTATGCATATAAAACAATTTTCAAACATTGAAGAATATGTAAAATATGTACTGCAAATATTTGTGCATGTTATATGTAATCATTAAAATATATGCATTCATTTTTATTTTAAAATATGACTAAAACTTTAAAGAAAATAAATTTCTTATTACCTCCCTTTATTTACATGAAATGTTAAATTCGGTAATATCTTTATAAATAATGCTATTTTGAACCTACAATATTGATGAATCTTAATTTGTCCATCATATTTGTGATTTAAAACCATAAACAAAAATTCATCACAGTGATAGAAAGTTAAATGTTTTAATATTGTTGTTTTTAAGGTCTGCACGGTGGATGGCATGGGAAGGTTGACATACTTGTCACATGCAAGAATGAAGAATTACTACCTGTCTTTATTGGAGAGTCAATCGACGATGAAATTTTAGAAACTGATGAAAACATTGTGGACAATTCTTTAGATCAGATTATGGCAGAAGCAATTGTTTTCTCATTTTTTCAGCGTAAACAGTATTTCGGAAGATTAAAACATAATTTGATTCCTAGCATCGGAATAATCAGTGGCAGGTTAATTGTCTTCATGTATGACTGCGAGAATGATGTTCTACTTGGATCAAGTGTAATGCCCCTGTTGAATCAAGGTGGTATCGCTGTCAGCAGTGTTATTTCTCTCTGGTTAGTTCTGAACTACAAGCTGTTCGGTACAGGACTGATTGATGAGCTTAAAAGATACCAGGCAAATGTACACAGACTACTAGGGGATGAAAAGCTTGAGGAATACAGAACTAAAGTTTCTATGCCTTTTAACAACACATTTTGTCAAGATATATCATATGATCCAACAAGTTTTTTCAATGAAGATCCAAAAAGGAAATTAAATAGCTACCCTGAAGATCAATATCCAGTGAAGAAACTGTTGAAGAAGCAATGACAGTAGCCATGAATTTTTAACATCAACTGCTGAAAAATCAGATAATTTTTTAAGGTCAAAATTTTGAGAAATGAACAATTCAGACTACTGGTCAATGTGAAATCTTCACAAATTTAACGCATCTTTCTGCTTATGCCCATAAGGTGGCATATGTCTGCGGTTTGATTTCTTTTTATGGACAGACTTCAAAAGAATTTTGTGTTGCATATGAGGACAATAAGCCCCATGTTATTATATTTGAAAGGATTTTTTCCTTTAAGTGTTTTTTCTGTAAGTTGTATTCTGTCATTTCTGTATAGATTTTAAAGCAATATGCAATGATTGCATTCAACATAGTAACAAGTTGTCGCAGACAAAAATCAGGTATCAACAAGTATGATGATTATAATTATTTCATAAAAGTAAAAACATTGATGATCACGTCTGGTCAACATTTCCACAAATCCTAGATGGATTTTTGTATTGACATAATTATGTTGTGCATACCAGGTGTCAGTGCAAGAACAAGGACTCCAAACTCAAAGGTCACACTTGTACGTCCAAATTCTTGTTCATATTAGTGCATTCATGGACAATTGTAACCAGGTTGATATTTCTAGAATCCTAGAATAATATGGTTTTTGAAAATTAATTAAATTTAATTTGATTAAATTACTTGATACAAATATGTTAGATATGATGGTGACACATAGCGCACAAATATCGGGTCTGTAGCTCAACGGTTAGTGTCACACTTATAATGTCCTTTGTGGTTTAGGGAAACATTCAAATGCTTCATGTGGTGCTGTTTTTAACCAGGTTTTCAACGAAAACCGGGTTATTGTAATGCCGAAGACGGCAGGCGGACGTCAACTTTTGGTTTCTGCTCAATAACTTGAGTTTGCTTTGGCCTATTGACACCAAACTTGGTGTGTAGGTAGCTTATATCAAGAGGCAGCTTGGGATTGCTACCCAGATGTCTGTGATCAAGGTTAATGTTACTAAAGAATAGATATTCAGGTTCTGCTCAATAACTTGAGTTTGATTTGGCCTATTGACACCAAACTTAGTGTATGGATAGCTTATATCAAGAGGCAACTTGTGATTGCTACCCAGGTGTCTGTAATCAAGGTCAAGGTCACTGTTACTAAAAATAGAAATTCAGTTTTCGCTCAATAACTTGTGTTTGCATTGGTCTATTGACACCAAACTTGGTGTGTAGGTAGCTTATATCAAGAGGCAGCGTGGGATTAATATCCAGGTGTCTGTGATCAAGGTCAAGGTCACTTCCGAAAAAAGAAATTCAGTTTCACCTCAATAACTTGAGTTTGCTTTGACCTATTGACACCAAACTTGGTGTATGGATAGCTTATATCAGAAGACAGTGTGGTATTGCTACCCAGGCGTCTGTCATCAAGGTCAAGGTCACTGTTTCTAAAAGAAAAAAAATCAGTTTCAGCTCAATAACTTGAGTTTGGTTTGGCCTATTGACCCCAAACTTGGTGTATGGGTAGGATATATCAAGAGGCAGCTTGGGATTGCTACCCAGATGTCAGTGGTCAAGGTCAAGGTCAATGATACTAAAAAAGAAATTCAGTTTCTGCTCAATAATTTGAGTTTGCTTTGGCCTATTGACACCAAAATTGATGAATGGATAGCTTATATCAAGAGGCAGCTTTGGATTGCTACCCAGGTGTCTGTGATCAAGGTTAATGTATTCAGTTTTCACGTAATAACTAGAGTATGCTTTGACCTTTTGACACCAAACTTGCTGTGTGGCAGCTTTGGATTGCCACTTAGATATCTGGGAGCAAGGTCAAGGTCATTTGTTTTCACTAGAATTTTCAGCTTCTACTCAATAACTTCAGTGCACTTTGACCTATTGATTGCTATCACATCAAAACTTGGTCGTTGAAAACTTGGTTTTGTCGCATTGCGGCACTTCTTGTATAATAGAGTAAAACTTCAAAATGAAAAACAAGAATGTTTGCGAAAATTGTTTCCAGCACATCATACTTCTTTAAAGCGGCCTTTTAAAGTTAACATGTTATTTTAAGATAAATTGTTTCATATAATTGTCAGATCAAAAGAATCTTGGAGGAAAATGGAATTTGCCATTGATAAAATCACGGGGGGGGGGGAATCACGTGACTTTTTGTAGTAATGCCCACGAGAAAATGGCGACTGCTGAGCCCCGGTAAGTACCTTATTATGTTAAATTAAGTTGACAAACGTTTCTTAAATACAAACAAAACCTAGCGCATCATATGCGCGCAAATTTTCTTCAAATGATAATACAAAGTGCATTATCCTACGTCTTGTGGTTTTTGAGAACATTGTTTGAATTGTGTGAAAATTGCACAGGCAGCGATAGTAATTCGCACGAAGCGGTATAATTTGGTACCAAAATAAATGAAAATAAGCTTTCTTTCTGCACTTAAGACGCCAATTCAATCATTTTATTGACATCTATTATCCTAGAAGTCCATATAAAACTTTGTTCGGAGGTCTGTAGCCTACAAATGTTCTTTTCAAGTGTATAGTAAGTAAAACGAACAATTTCTAGATAGTAAGTCGCACGAAAACAAAATAATAAGTTTCACGCACAGTTTCCAATAGCATATATATTAAAGGAAGATTACGGGTTGTAAATGACCTTTAAATCTCTAAAATTTAATTAACTTTTTATATTGTTTTCAGAATGGACTTTCGTTTTGTATGCAAAACATGTGGAAAAGGATACAAAAGTGCATCCGGGCTATCGGCGCACGAGAGAACCCATGCTGGTAATGCCCCCTACAGATGTTGCGGAAAGCTGTTTTTCAGCAAAGCAAATATTACCAGACATAGGTATTTTAAAATTATTTATTTCTTCGTTAAATAAGATACATAACAAAGAATCAATAACTATAGTGTTTGATTGTATTTACATTTATTACCGTCAGCATAAAAGTAAATGTGCTCCTCAAAGAAGCATAAATCCATTAATTCTCAAAATGATATCATTTTTATTTTTTCAAAAACGTATTTGTTGTACTGCTACATTTTCCAAAAGATTACTTAATACCACTTTACTCACATTTTGATACATTTATAACAAATTATTTCACATTCAATGCTCTTTTCTTCATGCGATTAGCATATACAACATGGGAATATTATAAAACACATATTTTCCTTGCTACAGAACGAAATTCAAGGCTGAATGGGCCTTTAAAAATGATTCAAAGAAAAGTTTAACGTATGATCTCAATTTAGTGTGCTTTTCATTTTGTGATGTTGCAGGTGTTCTAAGCACAAGGAAGAAATGCAGTTTGTATGCCACTGTGGAAGCAAATTTGCAGTGGGGGCCGACTTGCGGGCTCACCAAAAGGTGCATGGGTCGGCAGCGTACACATGTGACATCTGCAATACAAGTATCCATCGGAAAAAACAATTTGAGGACCACATGGCTATGCATAGAGGGGAGAAGAACTATGTATGTCCATGTGGGAAGAGGTTCACACACAGACCTAATTTGACCCAGCATTCAAAGAGATGCCAACAGAAGAAGTGATAAGAGTATATGATTTAATTTGAGACATTATGACATGTTTTATGTAACTCCCGCATAAGGAAAGTTTTAAGGTTGTTCGTCTGGCCGTCCGTTTTAACTAAAACTTGACAGAAGTAATTTACATGCGATTTTTATAAGAAATTTGACTTAGACTCATAAATGCCATTGACCTTCAAGGTCAATTCCTTTAATTTTGCTAAAATCTGCTAATTTCTCCAAACGTTTTGTTTTCATACTTGGACATTATACTCAAGTATGTCATTGACATAAGAATAAATGACCGTCAATGCTTAATCATTTAATTTCGCTAAAATCGACCATAGCTTTATCAATCAATCATAATCAACACTAGTTTTAGGAAAAACCATCAACGACATTACCGTTAAAATACGGTAAACAAGATCCACAAGGAAACAATTCAATTTTGTAAATTTTGCAAACATCACTCAATTTTGATAAAACTTGGCACGACTAACTAACATTAAGTCTACTTGCTAATATTATATCGAATTACTTAGATCATTTTTGGTCGACTTTTTTTTGAAGAAAATAAAATAGATGCATTGTTACATTCATTGTTACGGGCGTTCCCGTTTTCGTCATCAAATCATAACTTATTAAGTTGTTACTGTATTTTCTTCATACTTGACAACATCAACCCTTTGAACAAGATTATTTTTTTCAAGTAGATTAGACATAACTTTACCTTCATTCATAAATAATGACCTTCAAGGTCAAATGATATTTTAGTGGCTATGATTTTTAATTATTTGAATCTCTTCAAACAGGAACTCAACAAAATTTTAGGCTAGACCTTAAGTTAACCAGAAAGACATTGACTTTCACTAATACATGACCTTGACCTTGAAAGTCAAATCATTGATTTTGTTGCTGTAACTAGCCTTGTTATCAATGAATGGATTAACTTCTTATTAAGATACACGTTCTTCAGGATTAGACTTTCATGTATATTAAACTCAAAGTTACCTTGGCTCTATGACCTTGACCTTTAAACTATTGAATTTCAATGTTTTGTTATAAAGGATGTAACTTAGTAAGCAATCAATAGATTATCTTTATATTTGGATAAAACATCATTAAGTTGAGCTTACCTTTGCCATGAGCTTTAAATGACGTTGATCGTCAAGGTCGAACGATTGAATTTTGGTTATATTGTCATTAGTTTATTTATATACGATTTTGATTTATACGTAGACAAAACAACAGTTGTGACAAACGGACATGTTGAATAATTTAGATATGACCTTGAACTTTAAATGACATTGACCGTCAACGTCAGGTGACTGAATTTTGCTTATATGTTTTTACTTGGTCCTTCATTTATTGAAATGATTCAAAATTTAAATTAGAAATAGGAAAACGTCAATTTTCTACCTTATTGTTTTCTTTCATTGATTAAACCTGTATGCGGGGGTATTATAATATTCATTTTATGAACTGTTAAGTTATTTAAACTAACATCGGAGATCCGATGCAAGCTAATTTTAGTTAACATGGTTACAAAAAGGCAATTGTTTACGTTTTCTAGTCAAATGTTGTGTAAATGGAACAATATATTATACTTTCATTTTACACATTTTACCAAGATATTTTTTCTATCTGTCATGTGTTACATACTTTTCATGTACTTTTTATTCAAACATTAATGTGGATTGATCTCAGCAAATAGTGCGTTTTACAAAATCAAGCATCATCATCATCATTATCATCATCATCACTGCCTCCACCAACACCATGTTCACAAGCATCATGTTCATCATCATCATTTCGATCAACAACAAATTGCCACAACTTTCATCTTTTGTTATAATTTATTTTAAATTTTGTATTGGACAAAGAAGTCTATATGTTTTATTTTTTCTTTGTATGTTTACTTTTTATTGTCAGTTGACATGTTCACTTCATCTGTGATTAAGCAATGATTTTAATCTGTGATTACTTTACTACCTGTGATATTTTAAGAATGATAATTAAATAATAAAAGTGATAAAAATTCATATGTGTTTTTTTAATATTTATTCCATTTTTGTATTTTAGCGTGTATGTATATACTTTGCAGTATGAAGCTAGAATAAAAGCAAATCACAAATATTACATGTATTATTGGCAAATACTTAGAAAACTGTAAAGATAACATTGATATAGTTATGTCAATGTGGTGCATTATCTTATACATTTCGCAATTACATATTAAGTCGTCGATCGGAAAAAAATAAACATAAAATAGACATTTCTTGTAGGAATGAATAATTATGTTAGGAATCACTTTTTCGACACTTAAACACAATGAAACAGTAAACATGTACATTTCTAATCAAACTTTCTTCACTTAAACTCAAAATATTCACTTTCTATTTAAATGCACTTTCTGAACAGAAGTGAAATAGTAAAATGACAAATAAAAAATGTAATGCATT